TTTTTTTTTTTTTTTTTTTTTTTGAGAGGTTTTGCTATAGGGCACGTGCACTCATCAGAAAGAGAGACAGAAGGTGAGAAATCATCCCCCAGAGGAGATGGCCACGCTGCTACAATCCCTTCTCCTCCAGTCTCTCGGGATCTTGGGCACACATGCACATGTGCCCGGTGTGAATTTTAAGCCACTGGGTCCGGGACTCAAACCATGGTCGACTATGTGGGAGTCCAGCGACATAGCCATTACGCTATCTGCTGGTGCTGGGGAAGGATTCTTTCTTACTTTCCCTCTTTCTGTCTCTCTCTGGTGAGTACACACAACACAACACAAATTAAAAAAAAAAAAAAAAAAAAAGGCTTTCCAATTCAGTTGAATCTACAGAATTATTTCTTTATCAAAATACAATACATGTGCCCAGGGGAGGATGTTTTAAACCAGTCAGTCATGTAGAACAAAGCAGCTCTCTTAATCATAAGGCTTTGGGAGCTATTTTTTTTTCTTTTTTTGGAGAGGTTTTTGCTATAGGGCGCGTGAGCTCGCCAGTCAGACAGAGAGAGACAGAGAGACAGAAAGCGAGAAATCACCCCCCCAGGGAGGATGGTCACGCCGCAATCCCTTCTCCTCCATTCTCCTCTTGGGATCTTGGGCTCGCACGCACACGTGCCCAGCGTGAATTTTAAGCCACCGGGTCCAGGACGCAAACCGCAGTTGACTACGTGGGAGTCCAGCGACATAGCCATTACACTAACGGCTGGTCCCCCTTTGGGAGCTATTTTAATTTAAGGAAGAAACAAATGAAAAATTTTAGAATAATATTAGGCTAAGTAGTAAGTTTTATTAAAAGTTAATTTGGGGGGACCAGCAGTTAGAATAATGGCTATGTTGCTGGACTGCCATGTAGTCGATCGCGGTTTGAGTCCTGGACCCAGTGGCTTAAACTCATGCTGGGCACATGTGCGTGCGTGCCCAAGATCCCAAGAGGAGAATGGAGGAGGAGGGATTGCGGCGTGGCCATCCTCCCTGGGGGGGTGATTTCTCGCTTTCTGTCTCTCTGTCTCTCTGTGTCTTTCTGGCAAGCATACGTGCCCTACAGCAAAAACAAACAAACAAACAAACAAAACTCTCCTAAATAAATAAATAAATACAAAGCTATTCTATTAAAAATGTTATTTTTAATAAATAATAAAGAATTTGAAGTGGAATGTGAAGAAATTAAAATGTAGCTTTGGTATTGGGTATAATTTCAAAATATACTGAAAGTATGATCTGAATAAAGAAAATGTGTTTTCTACTTTGAAAAAAAGAGAAGAGGATAGGAGAGGAGACGGCAGTGGGTGAATAATTCAACCAATTTTTTAAAAGTGTTAAACTGTTAGAGGAGTGATAAATTGAAAGAGTTGAGAGCCCTCCTTTAGTAGTCTGCAGAGTAAGATTCCTTTAAAAAGCAATCAAATGTACACTATAGGAATAAGCAGAAAAGCAAGCTAAGACATGGTCAGTCTGTGCACAAATCCCTTCAACCTCCTAGGTTTCCTTCTTTACTCATGTGATTATCACTCCTTCTGGAAGAAGATCATGAGATTCCAGATGCAGAAATAACAGGAATGGGGGTGGTAACTTCTATAATTCTATGGGAAAAGTATTTCCAATCTAGAATTTTTTTTTTTTTGAAGAGGTTTTCAACATAGGGCGCGTGCGCTCGCCAGACAGACAGAGATATAGAGACAGAAAGCGAGAAATCACCCCCCAGGGGGGATGGTCATGCCGCAATCCCTTCTCCTCCATTCTCCTCTCGGGATCTTGGGCACGCACGCACATGCGCCCGGCGTGAGTTTTAAGCCACCGGGTCCGGGACGCGAACCGTGGCCGACTACGTGGGAGTCCAGAGACGTATCCATTACGCTAACTGCTGGTCCCAATAATAATATCCTTCTAACTACTCTGTCCACTTCCATCTTGGCCCAGGACTGTAAGTCAATTCTTAACAGCAGCCAGAATAATCTTTTAAAAATTTATCTAATAGAATTAAACTTCAATTTTGTTAAATTTATAAGGTCATCCATTTGTTGAAACTCTCCAGTGGCTTTTCACCTCAGAGTAAAAGTCCATAAAATGGCCTATCAGTCATTTAAAATCTGTCCTCTACCTCTATCTTTCTAATTTTATGTCCTGCTAGTCTCTTTCTGACTTACTTCACTCCAGCTACAGAGAGGGTCTTTGCTCTCCCCAAACACATTAGGCATGAAACATTTTCCCTTCAGAGTTTGCACATGCTGTTCCTTAGGGCACAAAAGCTCTTAGATATCCCAATGGCTTGCATTTTCACCACCTTAAGTCTCTGCCCAAAAATCTCTCTTCATCACCCTACTTTAACAAAACAACCCTATCTACTCCAAACTTTGTTTTCCCCCAAAACTACCAAACGATAAATGTAATTTGTTTTTCTTTCTCCTTACCAGACTATTATTTCCAAGAGTCAAGAATAATTTTGGGAACCAGCAGTTAGCGTAATGGCTATGTCACTGGACTCCCACGTAGTCAACCACAGTTCGAGTCCCGGACCCGGTGGCTTAAAACTCACGCCGGGCGTGTGTGCGTACGTGTCCAAGATCCCAAGAGGAGAATGGAGGAGAAGGGATTGCGGAGTGACTATCCCCCCTGGGGGGGGTGACTTCTTGCTTTCTGTCTCTGTCTCTGTCTGGCAAGCGCACGCGCCCTATAGCGGGAAAAAAAAATAATAATTTTCTACCTGGTTTGTTCACTGCTATATTCCCAGCACATGGAACTATGTCTGGCACATAACTGAAATAAACAGTATTGCTTCTTTTTCTTATTTTTTGAGAGGCTTCTGCTATAGGGTGCCAGCACTCACCAGAAAGACAGTGAGAGACAGAGACAGAAAGCAACAAATCAATGGCTACAGTGTAATCCCTTCTCCTCCATTCTCTTCTCAGGATCTTGGGCACCAATACACATGCGCCCGGCATGAGTTTAAGCCACCAGGTCCAGGACTGGAATAGTGGTGGACTACTTGGGAGTCCAGCGACATAGCCATTACGCAAACTGTTGGTCCCCCACAAACAGCATTTCTTCTATTAGCTGATCAAAAAATAACCTTAATTTGTTTTCTCCCATAGGGCACGTGCCCTCTCTGAAAGAGACAGTGACACATCATCCCGTAAAGTGCTTGGCCACATCACAATCTCTTCTCTTGGGATTTTGGTAACGGGTGCTTTCTTCAAGCGGCAGGGTCCAGGACTCCAACCATGCAGCTGGCCATGACGGATCCAGTTGGCTTAACCACCACACCAACTGGCTGGCCCCCAAATTAGCCCCAATTACAGGTTATCAAAAATTCAAGACCAGAAGCCACTAAAAACGTCTAGTTTTCAGAAAATAAAATTTCTGGAAGTTCCAGTTTATGTATAATAGTTGTGCTATTTTAGTTTCATCCATTCCCAAGCTCTGAAAGAACATTTAAGAAGCTGTATCATCATGACTCGTGATGTACTTGGAGCTGTTGAGTTACATTTCCATTTTTACTACAACCCCCCCACTGGCTGCGTAGAGCATGTCAAGATGACGCCTCATCCCTTAACTCTTTCGTTTCCAGAACCTTCCTCGGAGGATGACCAAGGCTAGCCAAGGCTAGTGGAAGCACAGCGATGGGGAGGTCAAACGCAGTGGTGGTGTCAAGCTCACCCTCTAACACTAAACGCTGGCCGTGCTCTCTCCACCAGCCCATCTGCCTCTGGGGCACTGCGACCAGCAAGACCCGGACCAGCGCGGTAGTGTCTGGTCGGGACAGGCGGCTAGACAGACGAAACTGCAGATGGCACAGGAGCCGGGAGAAGCCTCAGGAAAGGAGGAGTGGCACCTCTGAGGCTTCCTCTCCAGCTCACTAGAGAACGGAATCTGGGTTTGGAAAAGTTACTGCCAAAAAGTCACCCTAAGACCTCAGAGCCGCCACAGGAGGGAGATTCGGGATGCTGGGCGCGGAGAGCCGGTCCTCCACGGCTTCGCGCCTGCGGGGTCGCCGCGCCTCTCACACCGCGCGGGGCGTCACGTGGCGCCAGGTGGGCGTCCGGGAGTCACATGACTGCGGGCGCGGTTCCCGCGCTGGAGCCAGAGCGCTACCCTCAGGCCCGCCTCTCGTGGCCCGCGGCGGAAAGGGAGACGTGGCGGCGGACGAGGAGGTGGGGCGGCGGCCGGAGACCCTCAGGGCCCAGGCGGCGGTTACCGGGTATAGGTAGAGCACCGCTCCCACCAACGCCAGCAAGAAGGTAACGGCGAAGATCGCGAAGTCCAACATGGCTCTTCCGCCCGCCCGAGTCACGTCTCGGATCGGCCGTTCGAGCAGCGGCGTCCCAGCCTGGCCGGGCCTGAGGAATTAGCGTGTGGGCGGAGGCGCGGGGACCTGCGGGCGAATGGGCCGCCGGGGGCGTGACCAAGGCCTGCGGCCCGGGCGGGCGGCAAGAGCAATGGATCGCCGAGGAGCCGGGGTCGGAGTCCTGAGCGCCGACCGCCGGGCCAAGACCGCCCAGCCCCGAGGCGGGGTTGTTGTGCCCAAGACTTTTTCCAACACACCGCGACTTGGGGACGCAGCTGCTGGCAAAGCAGAGCCCAGGCTTCTAGGAATCCTTAGGAGTTCCTGTTGCTCTGCCCGACCAGCGCTTTTCCTGGTGGATTTTAGATGAAAAAACCTCTAAATCAGTGGTTTTCAACCGTGGTACCCCAACCATCCGTGAGAAGGGAGCCAAGGAACTTGTCAAAATGGTTCTGGATCCCAGCGGAGACCCGCTGAGTGGGACACTGCTGGGGAGAGGGATGCAGCAGAGTTTTAGCCAAGGCCTCCCGGGAATACTGTTACACACTTGAATTTGAGGGAGACCCCCCCCCCCCGACCTAAGCTATGTAGGGAGACCCCCCCCCCCCCGACCTAAGCAAAACTGAATGAGAGTTAAGCACTGTTGGATGCTTCTTGTTTCATAAAACAAGTCATGTTTGAAGTCATTCTTTGACACTTTATTATGAGCAAAGGTTCAATGGTGAATAAGATTTCCTGGCACTTTTTAGCTCTGGCTTTCAGTAAATTACTTGAATTTTCGAAGCTTCCATCTCCTATTAAGCGGTGAAAATAGTACCGCACAGAATTGCCCGTAGGATTAAATTAGACATTTTATGAAAAACACTTAGCACAGCTCTGGGCAAAACAGAGTAACTGCTGTCGTCTTCAGTAGTGTTAGTTGCCCTGAACATTGAAACACTCTGGGTTGTTTCTTCTATTTCACATGACTCGGAAGGTTTGACATGAATAATGTGAGGCAAGACACGCTACTTACTAGCGCTCCATTGAATGAAAACATCCTTAGAGTATTTATTTTACAGCTTTAATAATATAAAATGTCAAGAACAGGTAGCAATTCGTCAAGAGAAATCATTCCAGATCACATTTTAGAGCGTCTATGATGACTATTACATAAGTATGAAATCATAGCTCATTTGAAAATGCCTACTATTTTCGGCATCTATAAATATTATAATGAAACACGGCTGTGGAGCTGGCTCAATCTAGAGCCGGCCTTCCTTTTTTTTTTTTTTCTCCCTCTCTCCCTGCCTTTTTTTATTTTGCCAGAGGGCATGTGCACTCATCAGAGAGAGACAGAAAGACACAGAAACTCCGCAGTAGGACATGGTCATGCCACAATCCCTTCTCTTCCATTCCTCCAGGTCAGGATTTGTGCACACACAGCCCTGGCATATTTTTCAAGCTGTAAGGTCCAGGACTCAACCATGTGGACAGCTATGTGGGTGGGATCCAGCTCCCTTCACTACCAGGCCATGGACCAGCCCTGAGCTTTTTAATCTGTCCATTTGTTGTCCCAATTGGACAAAGTCCTACCAAGAACATCTACTGAGGTCCACACAATTCTCTCCCTGTCTCTATTGTATTACAGCAGCTACATCTCTTTTTAAATAACTGGTTCAATTACTCCTAAGGAGGTAGTGACTCTGACTACTAGTTCCTGGACAGAGGATACCAAAGTGCCCAGGCAATAGCCATATCTTAAAATTCAGTGTCCCCAGGGGCTAGCAGATGGCATGGTGGTTAAAGTGCTGGGCATCCACATGGTGAACCATGGTTTGAGTCCTGGACCCGGTGGTTTAGAAATCATGCTAGGTATATGTCTGCCCAAAATCCCTAGAGAAGAGATTAGAGAAGGGATTGTAGCGTGGCCATCCCCCTGGGGGAGTAATTTCCCACTTTGCTTCTGTCTCTCCAGCAAGTGCATGTATAGCGAAAACCTAAAAATAATAATTCCATGTCCCCACAAATATATAATTACTTGATCAAAATTAAAAAAAAATTTCAATGGAACTCTTGCTGTGTCCTCTAGTGTAACTATGCCCCATTTGGGAACTAGAACATCTAATTCAAAAGAGCTCAGAATCAGAGGTGTGTTGTGGAGTGTGGGGAGAATGGGAAGCACAAAGTTTCTCACTGGGTCATTGAGAGAAGTCAGAGTCTACTTCTGTTTCCATCCTGAGTCTCAGATCTATGTATTATTCTAATGGGCACCAAAGCACCATATAAAGTTTTTGATTCAATGAGAATAATAATTCTTAAGGTAGCACCTCAGGACCAGCAGTTGGTGTAATGGCTATGTCACTGGACTCCCATGTAGTCAATTGTGGTTTGAGTCCTGGACCTGGTAGCTTAAACACCGGGCGCATGTGCATGCATGCCCAAGATCCCGAGAGGAGAATGGAGGAGAAGGGATTGTGGTGTGGCCATCCCCCCTGGGTGGGTGATTTCTCGCTGCCTCTCTGTCTCTTTCTGGTGAGCGCCCTCACCCTATAAAAGGCGCTTTATAACCTCTGCCCCTCCCCCCTAAAAAAGGATAGCACCTCATCCTTGTGGAGTATTGTGTTCATACTGTCTTCAGCATGCCATCCCAAAGCTCTATCAGAATGGTTGCTTATGAATGATGTTTGTGAAATGACCACTGAATTCCACTGCCATGGAATAAATTCCACTCCTGGCACTTCTTAGTAGTAAAGTGGGCCCTTTGGTCTGAGGTGATAGTATATGGGAGCTCATGGCAGTAAATCAATACTCTACAGCTCTCAGATAATGGTGCTGACTGAGGTCTTGTAGATAAAAAAGGCAAACCCTCCATACATGTCTCTTCCTCTGTGAATGAACCTCTTTTCCTTCCAGGGTGAAAAGGGTCAACAGTAGCCAATTTGTCAGCAAGGGCCCATTGGTCTTGAGGAATGATGCTATTTTAGAGGCTAAGCATTGATTTTTGTTGCTGGTAAGTTTGGACATTCAGTAGTGTGAACAGTTAGATCACTGCCTATGATGCGGTACAGATTCTAACCTTGGGCCTCTTCCCTTTCCACATGAAGTAAATGACATTGCCCCACTGAAGATTTGCCCACTGAGATCCTTTTTCCTTGCCACAGTCTTTCAAGGCCACCTATGATACAGGCTTCAGTTCATGCGTTTTTGGCTTTACTGCACCACCCCTCAAGCTTGGACCCCTTTCTCCTGCTCTAGCTGACTATATGGGCTCATCTGCACAACCGTAAGCTGACGAAGATGTACTGGTGAAAGTGATGGATGCTGTGGACATCGGGGCTCCTTGCTCAAGCAGCTTGCGTCTGCCTTCTTGTCCTTAAGACTTGGTGTCATTATCAAGCTGATGATGACAATGTTGGAAAACAGTTTTGTGTATAACAACATTGGCTCTGGCTCCCAATGCACAAGGCTTACTACTATGCTATGTTACCAGACTCTCCAAAAATTTCATATTACCAGAGCATAAACAATAGTAACATTTTTTCTGTCATCTTGCCTTAGCTTTTCCAGTCTGCATGAATACAAATTTTAGAAAATATAACTGTATTTACCATTTTACTTTTCAGGTAAAAAGTTTTATAAAAAATTGAACAGATTGCTGAAATCATTTTAGTAATTTCAGTAGTTAATAAGGTAAAAAATAGTAAAGGCCCAGCTAAAGTGATGCAGGCAGCAGGGTGCCACTCTAAAAAGCTGGAAGCCATGTGGAAGACCAGGGGTTTGGATCCCAGGTCAACTTCAGCATTCGAGTGCACACTCAGGTATGATCCTGCCTGGCTAGAAAAGCTGGGGTAGGGGACCAGCAGATGGCATGGTGGTTAAGGTGGCTGGATTCCCACATAGCCAACCATGAGAATCACGCTGGATGCATGTGAATGCAGGCCCCAAATCCCGAGAGCAGAGTGGAGTAGAAAAGCTATTGCAGCATGGCCAACCCCCCACCCCCGGCCAGTGACTTCTCATTTCCCTCTCTGCCTGGAGAGCACAAGTGCCCTATAGCAAAAACATTGGAAAAAACAACCAAAAAAAGCTGGGGTTGGGAGTTGCTGTGTGCTAAGATCCTGTGGAAGGTGGCTCTCTCTCATGAAAAAAATAAATCAACTTAAAAAAATTAGTAAAGCTGGGTGTGATGGTGTGTGTCTGTAATCACAGTAACTTGGGAGGCTGAAGAGGGAGGATCAGGAGCTTGAAGCTGCCTGGTAACATAGTGAGATCCTGTCTAAATTCTTTTCTTACTTTTTTTTTTGAGAGCCTTTGGCTATATATAGATATAGATATAGATATATAGATATAGATATAAAATTAAATAAATAATTCTTACCAAAAAATGAAAGAAAAAAGGTTGAGTTATGAAAGGAAATAAAACCCAGAATAATGTAGTATTTAGTTAACTACAAATGGAGATTCATGACATGTGATCATTTGCTAAGGAAAGACAAATGTAACAATGTTTTTGAAGTGGCTTTAAAATGAAAGTCTAAATTTCTTTTGATATATATGACAAAAACTGGTTAACATATTTATCTTGTACATATAGCACAACAGAAAATTTTACTCATATGAGAAAGAAGTTGATCAGTTTTCTGCTTTCTGCTTAACATATACTATACCTTTGTCTCCAAAATAACTTACCCAAAACTAAGTCCTAATCAGACTCTATGAATTGAGAATTACAACCCACTGAAGAAAGTAATATTTTTTATTTGATTCAAACCCATGTTCATATACAAAGCTAATTTATTATGTACAAAGTAAATGTATATTTTTAAAAACTGTTAGGATACAAATTTTCAAGGGCCTAAAAAAAGTGCAAAATTTTCGATTATTATTTTCAATCATGCTATACAGAAACAAATTAAACAGAAGCTCATATACACACACTGAATTTTTTTAAAACAGCACTTAATGTAACAAAACATAACATACATTGTATATTTAATTTTAAAAGAATAAGGAAAGAATATATTGCACCAAACTAACATAACTTCATTATAATGAGAATACTAGTCAAAATTATTTACACA